GACTAAACTTTTTAATCTCTGTACTTCCCATAACAAAGCCTGGCTCAGTGTTCAGTTAAGACTTGGTTAATTACCCTGATCAGAGTAAGAAAGGGAGTGAAGACTGCTGAGAAATAGCTTTGTAATGGACATTGAGGACCTTTTAGAGAAGAATGTATCCATTGCTCACAAAATATTCACTCTAGGTAGCTCTTTTGTACAGGAAAACCACAACAGGGCTGAATTTTTCCCTTAGAAGAATAAATCTATTTCCATAGTAAATTTGACCAAGTTGTCCTGATGAAACTAGATAACACGGTTTAGATCTTGTCTTCTCTCAATCTCACCCCCACCTCCATCCCTTAGGAAGGACAAAGCCTAGCTCTAAAGCAGTTCATTCCTAAAATGAAAATCACTTTAACAGAAATTTAAAGCTTGTCTTGTTATCATAACTTGCAGAAATGGATCCAACCTGATGCTTGAAATAAGAGAGAGGATCCTAAGGCCTTCCCCTTAACCACTATTTCTCTTGCTTTCGGAAATCTCTAAAACCTTAAGCTCCCTGAATACAGAGACCCTATGTTACTTGTAACCTTAATTTACATATCAGGGCCTAGCACTCTGTGCTGAAAACATATAGTCATACTCAGCAAAGATTTATTGAAATAAATACAGACACTTGAATGTTACAGATCAACGGTGTCCAGTATTAGGAGCAGAAAGAGAATGTATGTTTTGGCTAATCAATTAACCACACACAACTATTGCCTCATACAAAACAATGTGGTTGCTGCTTTAGGGGATACAGAAATCAGTAATAAAAGATCCCTGCCCTGCATGAGTTCATAATCTCATTGGGAAGACAAGGCATACTCAATTAAAAAAAAAAAAAAAAAAAATCAGCTTAGAGTAGAAAAAGAATTGGGCTAGAAGTTAGGAGCAGTGCTGGGGTTCTATTGGCTATTGACTTATATGTGATCTTAGACAAATAACCTCTTTGGACAGGTTTTATTCTCTCTGCTTCATCTAAATCATAGGGTTTTTTTAATAGTTCAGATAAATTAGAAAATTTGCTCATATGCAAAATTGTAAAATACCAAACTAAAGTACCACATGGTTAGAATATCATATTGTTATTGTGTCAGACAGTATGGTTCAGTTTGTAGGTATGCCCTTTGGCTATCACCATCACCACAGCAAGAAACCCAGGCAGGAATTACTGGAGGAGAAAGGACAGTTCTTAACAACCAAATTGTTCCCAGTCTTTCCCATCGTCTTTCCTGGCAGCCATACATATTCATTTACATACAGGTGAAATGAACTTTTACTTAAGGTCAAGGATAGTCTTCAAAAGTTCAGAAAGGCAATCACCAAAAGATACCCTGAGGTGTTTGAATGGGAATTACCAATGTCTTCTCCCTACCATTTCCCTACCATTTCCTGTTTGGAAACAAGGAGGTATTAAATCTGGCTTAGTTCCTCCCCTCAAATAGCACTAGTTGGCAAATCAAATATCTTCCAGGGGCCAGGGGAATAATATAAATGAGTTGTCACCAGACAGAAGACAATAGGGAGTTGTAAAGACTATGGGCAACTGGAGAATGTATGCTCCATAAGATGGCATTTTTATTTCTAAAAATTAAAGCAACGGTGAGCCTGGACACTGAACTTCAAAAGATTTGTCCTCTTATAAAAAGGTCCCCCTAAAAAAGGACTTGGTTGCTATTTTTTCTCTTTCTTG